AATGAATGTGAGCAAAGTGGGATCACTGGGTTAAATAAATACAGAACAATTGTCTTAACGGCAGTGTTCCACATTTATAAAGGGTTCTGAACTGAAAAGGCAATCTTAAAGACTATCCTGCCTTTCTTAAAACCTAAGCCCCTCTAGTTTCTGAGCTAAACGTCGGCAAAAATGGAGAAGGGTATATCGGGGAGAGTCAGTGTCCTAGAATTGCCGACTTTGGGTGTAAAGCAACACCCTATGAGGGGGAATTTTTCACTCCTTTTCCTCATATTTTATGTGAATTTTGCACTCCCGCCTGACATCGTCTAACCGCACATTCCAAACCGCTATTTCCCCTTCTGAGGTTTTCAGATGTCATCCAAAACCGAATTCACTTGAAACCACCAAGCATAAACGGGGCTCCACAGAACCTGGGCACCTATGGCTATGTCCTGCCTCACCTGCATCCGAATCATGCCTATGTATGCACAGAGCAAGGGCACCAGGTACCTCCAAGCCCAAGAACCCCAGCGACTCCAGCCGCTTGCGCGCATTAAGTTTGGTTTGTTTACAAAATGCATTACAAGCGGCAGCTGTGTGCCAAATGAAAGGTTTTCACGCATCCTCTATTTTTTCGTCTCACCACCGCACCACGAAAGCAGAGCCTGGCGCAAACGCCAACAAGGCTTGGTAGATAGTTTTACTCCACGTATTTCTTTTTCCCCGAGGAAACTTGACCACTAAATTGCATCACTCTCGAAATGCAGGAGTGAAAGATTCAAGAACTGTCTTCCAAATTAAATTTATAAGATGAATATCACCATTTGAGCATTTATTTTAACAGATTTTAAGTCCAATCAGCTGATGACAAAATTTTGCCAGAAAAGCATCAGTCTTCATACTTATTTAACTATTTTTATTTTTCTTGGTATCATACGAGTGTGATACAACTTTACTCTTCCTTGATTTTGGATTGCCTTTAGAGGTACCATATGTTGCTTAAAATGCTGACCAATTTCTCTGCAAGATTCTCTAACTGCAAACTTGTACGTATTTCATACATAAATTGGATTAATTCGCCAGCCGCCCAAACATGAGTGATATGCACCCAAGAGCAAGCAATTCACAGGGAATGAAGGAGACCATTGGAAGCAAGGAACTTATCTCTGTCGCCATTTTGCGCCGTTAAACCCTCGTTGAACCGTTTTCTCGGTTCATGGCGGTGCTCAATAATGATAAGTATAAGCCATCGAGCGTCTAAGTCACCAGGCTACCTGACAAGACCATCCTAATGCTGTCATACAGAGCGTTGGGACAGACCTGTCGCAGCTAATACATAAGTGTTCTGTGGTGAAATTCTGCCCTCTGGAGATGTTTATCATGCACACCTCTTGCTTGTTTCCCATTTCAATCTCGTAGGCTGGTGGGCATGATTTATATTATATTGGGGGGGGGGGGGGGGTGAGTGGGATGACTCTGTCTGCCAGCAGACCATGCAAAATGTAATAACTTTTTGTATTGGGGGAGCAGAATGAAGCCGGTAAGTTTCCTGTGAACCAAGTAATTGTTTACCATACCTGCTTTCAACACATGAGTGGTAACCAGAATTAGACATTATCTGTTTCAATCAATCGAGTTTTGTCATAAGACAAATTATGATGCCACAAGGCGTGCAATGGGCTTATTTTCTTCCATATTCTTGATTATTTGCCCCAACTTTCTTAAAGTGGTCCCTCATGGCTGCTTTAACCAGATGTTTTCTATAGTTGTTATGGTTTTCTGGCTGGCAAATGACTGTACTGCACATATGCACTATATTTTTAGCACAGGGATACTCTAAGCTGCATACCAATTATAATATGTGAAGCCATACCCCAAAACTTTGCCATTAAATATGAATAAACAAGCCTAAATAGATGCCTTTGCTGCAGCTGAAAAGGCAAGCAGCAATACTGGCATGGTCATCTAAAGGTTATGCATAGTTCTGGAGAAGATTGTTTTGTGGAGCATACCCATTATTGCCCTTGACATAGGTTAACCATGGCAATCAAAATAAGCTGTTGAAAGTGATTTCGAGTATTTTGATTTGTGTGTTGTCAACTTGGTCTGTTGTCAATAAGCATACACAAATGAACTGAATAAAAGCACAAGTTGGAACCAGCCAAAAATGAACTATATCATGTTTTTATCACGAGTGCTGCTGATAGGTGAGTTGGGATGACACACAACATACGGGATACTTTAATTTAGGTTAAGTTGGTTAAGTGCATGACAAGTGGCGATAGGAATTGTTCAAGAATCAGTAAATCACAACTGCTGATGTGATACAAACAGGTTAGGCAGGGTGAGATGAAGTAAGGCCTCTTTACGTTAGGCATATTTAGGCTACTTTCATTGAATAAGCATTGGTATTTTGTAAGAAACAGTGACAAAATGTTTGTTTTCCCTGACCCCATCTTAACAAAAGCCAGAGGTATGTCTATTGTGTTTGACTTTGTGATGGGCTGATGTGTATGAGTCCAAGGTTTTTCGTTTCAGTGTTTTATGATTGTTGAATTTTCCGTTATTTTATTGTTGAATTGCTTTGCTCTCTTTTGTGTTAAAGTGCTGTGGAAGTGATGTGCAAAGCTCAGCATCAAATTATTGGTGTTAATAATTGTTTATGCTCATTACACTGCCATGAAATTGCTGTGCTTTAATGTATTCCGTTTTATTTTAACGGCTTAAGATGCTAAAAACCAAAAAGTATTGTCAGGTTTATGATATTACGTCCATGCCAACTTGAAATAGATGTCTTTGTTTGCTGAAGCATCAGTCACGAGCTCATAAGTTCCATCTTTTGTGAACTGATTTTTTTCACTCCTGCACGGTCTTTTTGCGATGAAATTTTTCCCTCCCACGCCAGTTCAAAAGCAATCCTAGCTCCCTGGGGAGAGTGTTTCAAAGCCATCTCGACATCAATGACGTCATAACAGCGTCATTCAAATGCTGCCATTCCATTAGCCATGCGACGATCAAAGCCGAAAAAGGCATTTTGTGGAGGCATTCATATCTGGCGTTCGTTAGCACGATATCTAGATATAACAAACGTCAATTGGCCCCCAATCAATGTTGTGCATGGTACGATGACGTAATCAAACCATGATGTCTTAAGAAGCAAATTCACTAAACGGAAAATTGTGTTGTGTTGAGCAGTCTTTTCCACTTAAAAAGCACACCAATAGTTATAAGTCAGCTTGTTTCATGATATTTGATGCTTGCTTCCACCTCTTTAAATGTAAAACATCCCCTTTCACTATTGGTATAATAGGTAGTAGGCATCTAAACAACGACTATTAGTGCCATATATATTTTGTACCAAATAGAATCTCATAGGTACCTAATGTTTGGGTCATGCTAACGCTTTTACGTGTTAAGCCGGTCTACGAATGCTTGACAAGTTTTAAAATAATTGCGCCTGAATTGGGATAAGGCACAATTAGCCGCATTATGCTGCAGCTTTTAAAAGTACAGCGTGGCCCTGATGAAAGGTAACGCATGCTTTCATGCAAACAGTGGCAAGTGTATTTGTCGCATAATCGTGTCTGACCTTGTTATACAACACGATCAGTGACAGAAGAGATCGTCAGTGATCGCGTTCTAAGATTTATTAAGTTTTGTTCTGTAAATTGCACCCCATTCTAAGCTTTTCACAAAAGGGCTGCTATCACTAATTTGAAATGGAAATCCTCCGCAGAAATCAATTTTGAGCCCGCGAAACATTAACCAGCTTTTTTACCTTCTAACATTGAGGAAGTAAGTCTGGGTGGTCAAAATTCAAGAAAAATAAGGTTTTGGTGTTGGTGAGCCCTTTCCGGCTCAGCCCCCCCCCCCCCTCCAGCCGATTTTAGGAACCGGCACCCCGAGTAGGTAACTTGCAAATGGCTTGACCAGGGAAGATCATCCAATGCAGTACTCAGGCCATGAAGGTGTTTGAATAGTAAAAGGGGCCGCACAGGCATTCTTATCGTTGCTTCATGCTGATATACTGAATCGAATTCGCGTATAAACTATTTAAAGGTGTTGATTACAGCTTTCCGCAACTTGTGGCATCTTGCCAAACCTGGATGTCTGTCGAATGAGAGTGACGTCGCCAACACCAAATTGGTGACCTGTGAAAATGTATCATGTCAATCACCGAGCACCATCTCAGAGTTGCAGCTGACACGTGCGCGTACCAGTATAGGTGGAAGGGCTTTGGTTCGAGCCTGAATTCGACAGTTTTCTCCCCGACCGACTCCTGCTCAAGATATGGCAGCAGCTGAGAGTGGTCGCGCTGGCGTGCGGTTCACACAGCGACAACCCACGCCGGGATGGCGAGTTCAGGGGCACCGTCTCAGATCGGTACCGTTTCGAAAAATCGAAATCTCACATCGAAGCCGTTTCGGAAAATAAGGCATGGGCACCACTGAGGGGCGTCGATTTGTGTAAGGTAGTCGGAGACCTTGCCTTGCGCCCGACGACCTTACCTTTCTCGTAAATTTTCCAGCCTACGCGCAAGCCCACGGTTAACTGGTTTTACTTGAAACTATATCGTTCACCGCGAAACGGGCTATTCGGAGATCATACTTTCGGGGCGAAATTCAGCATCGTTCAGGTTTCGGCGTCTTGCACGATGGAACGGGGCGCAAAATGACGCATGCATCGATTTTTCACCGGGATGGTGGGTCAGACGCATGGCCTGAAAAGTCCCTGCGTTCAAAGCCAGGAATGGCTGTGACCTCAGTCTCCCAAGTCCTCCCCATTCACTGACCGCGCGCCTCCCTGACCCGGCGTCCCCCTGACCCCCACACCTTCCCAGTGACCCCCAGCGCCCACCACCACCGCACCCGTTCAGTCTCTGATTCATTCTGCCCGCTCACGCCGACGAAGAGACCAGGCGTCACCGCCATATGGGCGCCAGTTCACGAGACGCCAACATAACACCCCGCCAAGAAGAGGGCGCGGCTGTCGGACGTCGGCCCCGGCTTTCCAGTGCGGGACCGGGCGCCCGTCGGCAGGGTACGTGAGGCCACATGCGTGTCTGCTGGGGTGTGTGAGCAGCGGAGACGAACTTGGAGGTGGGGCGGCCCGGCTGGAAGATAGTGGTGACTGGACGTCCGCGCCCAGGTGAGCACGGACCGCACACTTGCTGGATGGACGGCTGGATTTGGAGTTGGAAATACGGATTCTGACTGGCGCTATGGTCAAATGTGTGCTGCACGCAGTGTGGCACGCTTACCCGCCGGCAAATCGAGGTGGGCGAGCTGTCCACTCTCGAAGGTGGTGAAAAACTGCCACGTTTCTACTTTTACCATAGTCTGGCGCGAAAAAGCAACTTCGACTTCCGTGGTAGGTTATTGGATCCACCCCCTGCGCTTGCATTTGATTTATAGTTAAGCCAGTGAGAGGCCCTGTTTAAGCACCAAACGTGAGCTGCATCACCTAGTGCAACTCGATACTTTGGTTTTGGCGATGTCGCGTGTTTTGCCAAGGCCTTGTGTGGCCATCGCTTGCGCGCGTTGGGTCCACTTCCTCGTGACGCGCCGTTACGGTCACCTGGACATGGGCCCACCGTCACCGCCATCCATTCCATCCGCCCTCAGTCAGTCCGCGCGACCCGCCCGCCTCCCAGCGCGCCCCGCCACGCTCTCGCCAAACTCTCGCGGCAAAGTGTGCCGGCCCGGCGCGGGGTGCGTGGGGCCGGGCCGGGCCGGGTGGGCGGCGCCCGCAGCGCGTGCTGGGCGCTCGTCCATGGCCGGCCGGGCCGTAACGGAACGCCACGCTTCGCGCGGGCGTTGGTCGCAGGCGGAGGGCGAGGCTACGCGGAACAGTGGGCGTCTATACCGGACTTGGCTGTCCGGGAGGGAGGGCGATGTATGCTGGCGTGTGCGTACCTTTTTTTCGTTCATTTCGAGCGGAGATAGTGCTTCCCGTGCCCACCCGTACTGTGCTTCGCCATTTACCTACTACCATTTTTGTGTATTCTGTTTTTAGATAACCCGTCCTAAACCTTGTAAAGCCGTAAGGGGTCCTCTCACAGTCCATTTCGGATTCATGGGATGTTCTACGTAAATTCAGCGCAACAATTCAATTCAGACATGTAACTATACCGTCGGCTGTTACGCATGTTAAACGGGTTTGCTTGGTATGCAAAGCAAACCCGCGGGCTTTCCAGAAGCGAGATGTGACCCAGCACTAGCAAACAGCATTTAGTCCATAAGGATCTCCAGTCGGTACAGTGCTGAAAAAGTTTAAACACCGCAGTACCTCTCCAGCCGCGACTACTTCCTTCCCTGTTTATGCCTTCACTTCTGGCACCAGCATAGCCGGCCGGCGTAGGGCGAGCGACGCAACATCTAGTCAACCAGCCAGTATATATATATATATATATATATATATATATATATATATATATATATATATATATATATACATGTATGAGGCTTATGAGGCGGCAACGCATGCACTGCCTGGTATAATGTTATTGGCACCATCGGGCGTGCTCACTTCTTCGCGTGCCAAATGTCTTACGGCACTAACTCTGCTGTGCATGACAACTTCAAGCTTTATTGGTCAAGCTTAGTGCTTCAACGTTTTTTTAGTTGTGTTTACGTTTTTGACCGTGGTCAGCTCTCAAACAATCGTAAGAGGTGATGAATTGTGCCGCGTTGCAAACATCAACGTGTCCCTACCTACCAACGGGGGAGAAAATACTATAAATGTAACTGAATAGACTCGGCTGTTTCGCTCAGTCGTGCCTAGACTGGACCGATATGTCCGGCTTTAGCGTTCTTCATTTGTTAATTAGGCATGTCCTCAATAGTTTGTTTTTTCTTATTCTTTTTGGTGCCGTCTGTCATGCGGAGGATCATGCAATGTCATCGTGAACAGTGTCATGATGACTAAAAATGTGGTGTGGTGACACCGAGTGGTACCAAATAGAGCCCCGCAGGCATCAAGGTTATTCTCTCCGTCGTTTCGTTCGTGCGGCGTCAGTGGGTACCGGGTCCAGGGCGGCCTCATCTTTTGTGCAGGCGGCTTCGTGACGTTCCCCGCGGTCATTTTTCACTCTGGTGCGGCAGCCGCTGATGAATTGATAAAACAGTGCCCTTTTGACATGGGAGGCGATCGCGCGCACGCCATTGAGCCCCGCGAAGTGGACTTAGGACGAACGTAAACTCGCCCGAGGTGGGACGCGTGCGACGCGTTTGTCGGCGAGTGTCAGCGAGGTCAACGGGGTCAGCGAGGTCAACGGGGTCAACGAGGTCAACGGGGTCAGCGAGGCACTCAAGCTGCCCTGGGCGATCGCTTTGAGAACTACCTCGGTGTTCCCTGATCAGTGCAGTTTCAGCGGTGGGTGTCCTTAGGTACCTGAAATAGAACGGTCACTTACCGCCCACCAGCTCAACAGACCAATCTCCAAGCTGCGGTTACTACAGTTATGACTGTATTTAAACGTTTGTCGCATCAAACGCTTACGAAATGCGCGGAAGCGCTGACAAAATATACGAAGGCCATACCTGCCAATAAATATACAAGCATATGAACATTCCAAGCATGCTTGCAGACAAACACGTGACGGCCACGGCTTACGCAGCTGCTGGATGTCTGCTCGTGCAACTGCTGGCAGATTGCCAACCCAAACGACCGGGAAGCGTTAAACCTCAGCGTGGCGGGCGAGCCGGCCGCATCCCAGCGCCTCCTCGATGAGCCGATCACAGTCGCATGCTGGGCCACGCCCGACCTATTTCCCGCGTGCGGCGGCGCGCCGTCTGCCGCCGCTGCGTCACGAGCGCCACGGTCCCGGCCGCGCCGACGTCCGAGC